CCACTATATAGTCTATTTCTCTACAGCTAGTGACGAGCCGAAATATCACGAAACGAGAGAAACGAAACGAATTTGCATACCTTTCTGTTCTTTTCATTACGGCTATACGATAATGCCTTTTCTTTCGTTCGTGACTGAGATGGAATATAAGTTATTTTGTAATTTCGTACGGAAAACCAAAGAAAATTACGTTCTCTAGTTATAGTCGTCAGAGAGTTTCTCTTTTCTGCTTTCGTTTTTGACGTACCTTTTCGGCCCATCACGTATCTACAGCGGTCCGTCGGCTCAGGTGGGATGTTCCTGTATGTTTTGACATCACATTCTTAAGAAAATATCTGACTAAACTTCTAAAATCTTCTGTTACCTTCACCTACATTTTTTCTTACTCAAAAGTAATGACCGTCAAAGAAAATGGTCGCCCGTTCTTACCCGTGCAAAGCTCTAGTGTACATAGATACTTCCGGTTATTAGTAGTGCTGTTGATATCAGACATGTTCCGAAAGGCCACATACTAGTCAGTTTTGACTTACGATGGATTACTATCATTCTCGAGTTGTTATGATGCCTTAGACCAAGAGTTAGGTGTTTGTCATTGAAAGTTTTTCCATAAAGGCCTGATTATTTTACCCAAGAATAGATGTAAGCCCCGCACAATGTAAAATTAAAACAAATATGTTTCTTAGTTTATTATATATCATTGAACGCATCGAGCTGATTAGGAAAATGTACTTCTTAATTTTTCAAAATATTATTTTTCATGTCGAAAACTCAAAAATACTTGTAGCATGTAAAAACTCGAAAATCTTTCAAGTTCCAAGAATCTTTAATATCTTGGCTCCAGATTGTTTTGAAGCCTTCAAACACTGTTTTTCGAATTGAGCGTTACAAACTGAACAGAAAAATAGTGTTTGATCAATTTCGAAGTTAAAAGCATTAAAAGCCTATCGAGCATGGACGTCCAAAACTAGTCCTCTAAAGTGCGAGCATGCAATTTTGTAAACCTATCTAGTTTATTGTGTTAATGGCTAACGCTAAATAGACTATACCTCTTTTACCAAGCTCTTTCGATAGAGCTTGTTGACAAGTTATGAATAAAATGAACAGTCTAAAAACAAATACTACTTCAGTCATGTGTCTATCTAGAAAAAACTCCTTCAAAGTAATGGATGTCTCACATAAAGCTTCGCTATGCTTACGAGAAGGCATATGGAAGGCGTATGGAAGGAATCTGAACAAGAAAGACGCTTAAAAGTCACATTTTAATCAATAACTTGACAAATGCTTTTTAAAGTTGTATTCAATTCTTTGTAATAGGCCATCCGATTCGGAACACCATTGCACCTGGATCATCACTTTTTCAGAAACTTATTCGTAAAACTGAAAATGTATTTTTGTTCAGAAGTGTTATATGTATTGAATTGATTGACTTGTAAATGAAAAGTCTTGTCTATATAATTTTCGTACTAAATCTGGTGTCAGGAAATTATAGGCAAATGATGATGATTGACAAATCCATTCAATGAGAATAAACGAGATGATTTTTTTCAAATGATTTTCTGCTTTTCTTTCTGTCAGTGTCATGTAACATTCTTTCCCACAGTTCTGATGCTCAATAAACTGTCGAATAAAACCTAAAGTACATAATCTTGTAGGAAAACTTTTAACGTTAAACAACTTTTGCCACAGAGTAGCTGACATTCTCAGTTGATTCTGCATTGTCATCTGTATTAATGTATCAACAATGACATAGAAATTAGATCGTTCTAACACGTTCATATTACAATGATGTTCCAAAAGATTGTCATATCCAAAAACATATATAACATCAAATAAATGCTCTTCTTCTATTTGTTTGAAATAATTATCATTTAGTTTAATAAATTCAATTTGTGAATCTAAACGTAAATTTTCAATATAAGGCACTGAATTGTGTCGGATCTGTTCTAGAATAGAAATACACTTCTCAATTAAATGTTCATTAACGGTATCAAGTAAGTTATTTGTTACGGAGTGAATATTTCGATTCCAGTAAGAGCTAACGTATCGTTTTTCAAACGCTTTTATAACAAAACTTAGAAATCCTAATATAAATGATGCGATCGACCGAGGATCATATTCGCGTTGCCATTCTTTCTCGGAAATTAATTCAATATACCAAAACGTTAAAGTTTTTAGTAAATACGAATCAATTGTTTTAATTTTATTTTGCTCGTCTTCTAAGTTCAGATCAAATATATTTTTATAAAATAATAATTTCACTAGTAAAGTAAACGATGTTTGCTTTGCAGTTCGTCTTAGCGTTAGGATTGTTTCAGCTCTAGAAAATGAATAACAAAACTCCGTATGGTGATGTTCTGGGTGATGAACGTTACGAGAACATTTTGGTACAAGACAAAATGGAATCGAGCTGAGATCAATGTTGAAACGTTTCTGAATTGCTTCTAATGCTATTTTTGCACAATTTGGCCATTTGTCCACGGTAATCGTCGGTGTTAAGTCAATAAGTTCTTTGTCTATGCCACGAACGCATGACGAGTAACAAGCAGAGAATAGTGGATGTAAACGAAATATTTCAAACTGACATAAGTATAGAGATGCCAGCTGTTTTATTCGATTAATACCATCCAATACTTGTGGTACCTAAATAAAGCTAAAAGTATTTTAGCAACAAAAACTTTTGTGAGGTTCATATCCCGGCTTTCCTCGTTTCTTTTATCCTCGAGCGTCAAACGTTTGAGCAGTCGAATATCAAAGCAGTTCTTTTCAAAGCTTTGCACGACAACAATTATCAAACATAGTGATAGAGTATGTGGATGTTCTACTGTCGGATGTCTAGGAACAATGAATTTCAAAGAAGTGGAACGTGGGAGCAATATCGATTTGTGTGCACCGCGATGAAATAATGGAATAAGACCCGTAGCATTATATTTTATAGCCTTAAATTGCAACCTTCTATTCAAGGCGGTGCTTTTCGAAAAACTAACCTTACTTATCCAAGCGGAGTGTTTCTAACACGATTACAGGTGTTACTTACAGAATTTTTTTCTGTATCAAACATCACAAACTGATGCAAAAATGGATTTAACTTGATAATACTTAGGATAAACCGGTAAACATTCATATAAGTGCCGTACGTTTTCAATAGTACGTGCATTTCATTTATCCACAAGTTTTCTATAATTTTATCTAATTTATTCAAAACATAGTGATATTGATTAACAAATATAGTTCTCAGTGGTATGTTACACAGAAATGTATATGATCGTCGTAAAGCAACAGCTAAATCACAAACTAATTCGCATCATTCAGATGCTGTTGAAACACTGAATATCTCATCTTCATTATCCATTTCTTCAGAGAGTAACTGAATGTAATTAAATTTTGTACCTAGATATGCATCAGTATTTATAGTGACATACTGATATTGGTCATACGTACTACTATTGACTATACTGATTCTTTTTGACAGATTCTGTTTTTCACTTTGAAGGAAGTTATTTCCAGATGCTGTATGGAAAGAATAAACAACTACAAGTCCAAGTAAGCAGTACTCTCACTTGTTCTTTTGGAATAACTGTTGAACAAAAAGCGGTAGAGAGTTCGGGTTTTCATCACTTGAAGCCAAGACTTTGACGCGTCTTTATATAAAAGAAAACTCACTGAAAGTCTTTTTTTCAAAGCACGATTTTCAGAGATTCTCTGAAAAATCGGTTTGTATCCTAAAGTGTTTACATGGGAATATTTTTGCGTGCATAGATATTCGAGAGCAGTATGTTTCGCAGAAATTTTAGAGGACTGATAGTAACTCTCATTTTAATAAACCAAGTGTCTATGGATGCAAAAGGAGAAATTAAGGTCTTACAACGTTCGTTTTTAAACTTCTAAACCTTCTAAAAGACCTTTGTGCAGAGTCTTAAAGAGAGAATGCATAAAGGCAACAAAAAACCTCAAAACATGAAAAAAATAATTTATCCTTGTTATGTTCTCATCTGATTCAGCATACGAAGCTTGACTTGTGAATACACTTTTTATTAAGAGCCTAGTCTCTAAACTAAACTAAACGTTAATTCATCCTGCGCAAAGTTACGAACGCGGTGAATAAGTTGGAAAGATTTCACTAAGAAAGAACCTACGTGAAAACATTGCGTAAAGAAACTCTAGGTCTATGCAAAATGATGAACCGTCGGGAAGATTTCATATTGTTGCTCTGCACTTGACGTTTGGCTGCTGTAAATTGTCTTTTGAAAGATTTCTCTTGTATTTTAGAATCCATCATGCTTTCCAGGTTGTAGCTATGATAGTATGAACAAGCGGCAAGACTCAAAAGGTGATATTCCCTACTAGACTGACGCAGAAGTGTACTAGTTTTGGAAGTATTCATATAGAAGCAGTACTTATCAAGAAAATGTTGGTGAAAGAGAAAAATGCAAAGATCTACAATTCGGGCACCTTAAAGCAACTACGTTTAGATAAAACAATTCAAGCCAAAAAAGTCAGTATATGCTCTATATTCAGTATGTCACTATGAGACAGTGTTCAGTATACCCAGGTCAACACTGGTTTTATCATCTAGCGAAAATTTTTCAATTTCAATTGCCAAAGATGCTTTTTCTGGTGAATGTTCAACTTTAATACAACGTCGATTATTCCAGACACACAATTGAAAATTTTCTTTAATAGCATAGGCGTTCAGATAGACTTTGTTGTTAACAGTTTTCGGTTGAAATAGTTTTTCCGTATATCCGCTCGTACATTTTGTTACCGGACAAGTATTATCGAAAAGATAACGTATTCTTACATATGTAGTGTAATCCGAATTGAAATTTTCAATAACATATAAATTTTTTAAATTTATGCTACCAACTTCAATCATAAAATCGGATTCTCTAGCTTGAAAATGTTTTGATAATACTCGAGCATTTTCCGTTTTCTCATGTCGACTACCAACGAGAAACAATGTTTGTGGATCAGCCAATTTAAAGCCGCGCATTTTACAATTTTGAGGTTCCATAGGCTTAACAGGTAAACTACCATATTGTTCAATAAAATAATTATGAATTACAGAATCGAGTTGAGAAATTATCATTGTTGTCACTAAAAATTAGTTTTTCTGCAGTAATTTTACATAGATTCTTTATATTTTATTTATGCATTGAAAAATCTGCGACAAATTGAAAATTGAATCAACTTTCTTTGGCTTGATTTACACTTGGTTGGAGTTAATTTTTCTCAAACGATTTTTATTTCTAAAACTCTGAAAACTTTCTAACTGCTGCTTTTCGAACATAAGACAAATTGCCGATTTCATCATCCATGTATTTTATTCTCTCTTAGCGTGTGAAATTGGGTATAGAAACCTGTAGTTGACAGATTCAGGAACTAGAGGCGTCAGAAACGGTAGAACTGTCGAAAAGCTCATGGACCATTTTGCTAAGCTATAATTTTA